TTTAGCCTCCAGAATGTGAGACCATAAATGCTTCTTTGTCAAAGCCTCGTATTTGTGGTTCTTGTTGCAGTGGAATCTCTAGATAAGAAAGCCAATTTCTGATAAAATAACAACTTATTTAAGCAGGACATGGAAACAAATGCATAGCTGCTCCTCTAAAGATTACAGGCAAGGAGCCCTATTGGGTCATTCTACTACTAATAGGGTCCTGATTAGTCGGAATTGACTTGATGACACACAACAGCGACAACTAAGTTGACCTAAGTGATGTTAGAGAACACACACACACACACACACACACACACACACACATCATATACACTGGGCTGTTCACCAAGATAGATCGCGTGTTGGCCCATCAAATAATTCTTAATATATGTTATAATATTAAAACTGAATAGATTACATTTTCTAACCTCTATGGAATTCAATTAGAAATCAACTGCAATAAAACATTTAAGAACGCCCCAAACATTCAAAAGTTACTTAACACAAACCAGAAAAAGGGAAATTAACCTACTCTTGAGATGATGATGATAAAAATATATGTATGATATCAAAGTGTATAGGCTGTACCTACAGCAATGTTTGGCAGGAAAACTCACAGTTTCATTGCTTATATTAGAAAATCAATAAGGTTTAAGGTTAATAATCTGAGTTTCAATCCAAGAAGTTATTAAACAAATTAATAAATTAAACTGAGTAAGAAGAAGAAAATAATAAATATAAGAATATAATTCGATAAAATTGAAAGCAGACAATTAGAAAAATTGTCAAGGTTTAAATTGGTATTTTGAAAAGTAATAAACCTTTGGAAAAATAAAATGTTTGAATATAAAATTAAACTTAACAATTAATTTAATAAATTTAGCTTAAAATAAAAAAACTTGGAAAAATAAAAACACAAAAATTAATATCAAGAATAAAAGATATTTTCAGATATCCATTAAAAAGGAGCCTTGGTGGCACAAAAGCAAAGCACTCTGCTGCTGATCAAAAGGCGGGTGGTTCAAATCCACCCAATGGTCTGAGTAGAAAAGGCCTGGGGATCCGCTCCTATAAAGTTTTAAAAAAACACAAACTCGAGGGAGGGGAAAAATGAGGACCTAATGTCGGGGGTTTAAATGGAGAGAAAATGTTTTGAGAAACAATGTACAAATGCGCTTTACACAATTGAT